GTGTGTAGCTGAAATAAAATATATGAAAATAATTAAATATACATACATGTATTTAAAAACCAATGAATAAAAATGAATAATTAAAGCCCAAACTAAGAATCTAATGTTAATCAGATTGGTTATCTCCCTTTTCAAAAATGTAATTTGTGTATATAAATAAATGTTTTGAAAGGTGTTTACTTCATCATTCTTACTTTTCTGTGAAACAGAATCACTTTGTGATCAAATAGAATAATTTGTATATTTATCATTTACACTCATTTTTAATTAGTTGTTTCAATATTGTTAAAAATAAACATAAACCTTTTATAAACTAAAAACAACACTAGAAGACCATTTGACATTTGACCCAGCATATGAATACCATCACTATGGAATCAAAAACCCAAAACTCGTGATCTAATATGCCTATGTCCCTACTACCTTAAATGGATGATTTTATTTGTACTACCCCTGTATTGAAAATTTATATCTGAACGATTTGAATATTAACTGTTTTGAGTAAACTAGCTATGACTTGTATGCATGTCTTCCAGGGGGAATCTTTTAAATTTCTTTAAAAAAAACATTTATTCATACATAACTGAAAACAATTGTTATAAAAATGGTTTCAACTTACAGAAAAATTAAATCCAAAGCCTGAAGTAGCAAGGTTTCAGTATTTTCACTATGTTTTTATTTGTACATGTAGATTCCACAGTCTGGAAGAAGAAATTATTCAGAATAGAGTGAAGTTGATTATTGTTGACTCCATAGCCTCTCTGGTGAGAAAAGAATTCGATAGCAGTCTAAGTGGAAACTTTATACATCGAAGTAATATCCTTGGTAAACAGGCTATACACTTGAAGTACCTTGCTAAATCATTCAACATTCCAGTAAGTCAGTCAATTTGTAACTCTCACTTGGGAATGACTTTTGTATGGGATTCAGGAAACTGCAACAGTGCCACTAGCTCCTCAAGATGACATCATCCTCTTGTTTAACAGACCCTGTCTGAGTAATATGGTTCTTGCTTTATTTACCCCATTGCCACTGTTTGTTGCAGAATGGATTATTTCTGCAGTTATTTTGATGGAACCTTGTTAAGGCATAGACACTAGTATTATAAATGTATAGCAGGTTCTTCTATAATGTCTGTGGACTGTAATTAGTGCCTACATTTTACAGCTGTTGCCAAAAAAAGCTAACTATATTACTCTTTTTTTCATGGTAATGAGATGTTTATATACTCAGACTTGTACATTATATTTGTACGTATGCGCATTCAGAATATAAATGTTGTGATAGTACTGCATTGCTGCAAAATAGGAACAGTATGTTTGTTAATTTCTTCCTAATGTAAATGAACTCACAGCTTGTCTCCAGCCCTACGAACTGTTCAGGTCGTGTGAATACTTACTTTCAGCTCATGATTTTAAGTTCACATGTGTTTCCTGCTATCATGCTGCTTCATGTGTTTGTGAAAAAAATGCATAAAGATAGCAAATTTTAAAGACAAGTCATGCTTTCAAAATGTGAATAAACAAATAAAAAAAATTGCAGTCAGACGTCACTGCAAAGTAACTACAATTAAGATGAATGGTGCCATGCTTGTGATACTGTCAATAGGAATGTTCATAATTTGATGATTTATAGGCAATTCATGAGAAAAAAATTTTGCAAGGGTCGTTGTGAAATTAAATCAGTTTATGATCATTTCAGTTGCGACTCACTTGTGCAAGTATATTTTTCACTTGTGGCGAATATTCAGTGTTTTGCAGCAATCTTTTTTTCTTCCTTTGATGTGGTTTGAGGGCGCAATTTAATTATGTCTGACCCAGGAAGGATATATTTATTTGTGATGAATTAATGGCTATAATTCCACAATGAATCAGTGTGTGTTTAAATAGAATCACAACAAAACCTTAGTTGGAGATGTACATACTTCTGATTGAGAAAACATGATGATTGGTGATCAAGTGTGCTATAACATACCTTTGCTCTAAAAAATGAATATGAAATAATTTTCCAAGAAAATTTCATGTGACAAATATAACAAATATTGTAGTGCAGCTTTTCACAAATTTTTAATCCATAAATATATTAGCAGTGACATTTGATATGACTGAGAATTCATTGCAAACCTAGTCAACTAGTGTTGTACTGAGAATTCATTGCAAACCTAGTCAACTGGTGTTGTTCTGAGAATTCATTGCAAACCAAGTCAACTAGTGTTATACTGAGAATTCATTGCAAACCTAGTCAACTAGTGTTGTACTGATAATACATTGCAAACCTCGTCAACTAGTGTTGTACTGAGAATTCATTGCAAACCTAGTCAAACTAGTGTTGTAACTGAGAATTCATTGCAAACCTAGTCAACTAGTGTTGTACTGAGAATTTATTGCAAACCTAGTCAACTCGTGTTGTACTGAGAATTCATTGCAAACCTAGTCAACTAGTGTTGTACTGAGAATTCATTGCAAACCTAGCCAACTTGTG